ATGAGCAGCTGCAGACCTGAGTTCAGTGGGAGTACGTGTTTTGGCTGGGGTTTAGGCAGAGGTAAGCCCCTACTTGGTTCATGTCTTGCTCTATATGAATTCGTTCGTTCATAGTGAGGATAATGTAGAGGTGTGTTAAAGTTGTATGCTTCCTGTTGTATAATCTTAATTGAATACTAAGTAATGCCTTGTTCCTGAAGACTGGGTGTTGCGATTCCCAGCAACTTCCATGAAGCCATTTACCGAGCTGGTAGTGGTGCAGCTGGAGCTGCTCTCCAAAAGGCCTAAAATCTAAAATTCTGAGCTATTTTGTCTGCTGAACTAGACAAAAGCCACCTCCATATGTGGTGAAATTAGATACATGCAACTCCCAGCTCAATGGATTTCAAAGCATTTACAGCGAGTCATTTTTTTTGTGCTGCTAAAAATAGAGCAGTGGAAGCACAGTACTCTGGGATAGCACACACATATTCATACTGTCTTTGGAACTGCAAGGGAAAAGGAGGCAGAAAGTAATTACCCACAGTAGAATTTGGCCAGGTACCAAGTGACAGCTCTTTGTTCTGAAAAAATACCTGTGTTCTTACTGAAACTGTGTGGTCAGGCTCTTACTGTAATATCAGTCATTCAAGGATATCCCAGTATCCTGGCTATTAAGGTGAGGCATTGGATTGGCACTGATTCAGAAAGAAACCATCTACCTGCTGTGAATCAATATGTACACTTTCTCCTTGGAGCTGTTCCATGCAAACACATAAAAGATTTGTACAGGCTAATAAAAGAGGTTTAAGGAGATGGTATGGGTGGAGACTTACAAAAGGAGAATTATTTTTTTCTTTTATGTAAGAAGAATGAGTGATTTACCCATTTAACACAGCCATTACTGGAGCTACCAATATACTCTTCTGTTTACGTGCTCTGCTTTTTCCTTAATGTACCTAATTTTTATTAGTTTTCATATTTTTATAGGCAGCATTTGGAAGTTGTATGCAAGGTTCTTCATTCTTCTCGTTTCTGTGTTGAAACAGTACATTGTCTTCCATAGCTACTCATGTAAACTAGAACTGTAAATTAGTATAAACTTACAACATGGAGCATAGCAGTAAGATTAGATGTGATGGAGAAGTAAGATTAGATGTTTCATAGCAGTAAGATTAGATGTTTCAATGCAAAGGGCTCTGGATATAAATCTCTGGCTTGGACATATTTCTTTTGATATGCTTTCATAACAGGTGATATGCTTTAATAACAGGTTTGGTCTATTTAATTTTGTATATTCTCCTAGTTATGTAAATAAAAAACTCTTAAGAATTTATGTCTCCTAAAATACTATGCACTTGTCTTTTATGCTATAATTTCATAATTACATCAGGATTACCGTGTATCTGTATATACAAATGGTATCACTAGTTTAATTTGTTATGTGTTGGTTTCATTATTATTATTTAAAAAAGGCTCAATCACTAAGGGAAGTGACTAATTTTCAAGGAGTTTTCCATTGGAATAATGGTGAAAGGATTAGATTATCTGACCTTCAGATTTCTCTTTGGCCTACAATTGAGGACAGAGAATGTATAAAACATCTGTAAAATCAGTTCCTTATCATACATGTAAAAGAGTTTAGATGAATCCCTGAATGTTTTGATACCCACAATGAAATCAGTAAATTTAATTGGAAGACAAGCATGGGTCCTGAGTGTATTCCTGTCAAAGCCCTTGAAGCAAATACTCCTAACTTCAATTAGCCCCACACAGAAAAAATACACTTGCATTGATGTATAAAGTCTAGCTAATAAAAGCTGATCTGGCAAAGATCTAATTGCAGGATAGAAGCTCGTAGTTTGAGAGCACAACGGAATTTTCTGTATGAAGGTTTTCAGGAGTGATTCAAGGCAGTGTTATAATGCACAGTGACAGTCTGGTGTCTAAACTGCAAGTGCCTTACGTAATGAGAACAGTTATTCTATTATGCTCTGAAACAGGAGTTTCAGAGAGAGACAATTTATACTGCAATGTAGTCACTATTGGAATAATTTAGCTGATTTTCTGTAACATACAAATTTGGAAGATTATGCTAACGATGTAAATATCAATGGTAGAATAAGCAAAAACAATAGATAAATCACAAGTATCTTTCCAAGAGAGCAAAAATAGCTCTTTTGACTGCTGATGGAGATGGGATTTCCACCTGCATTTCAGAAAATGGAGCATCAGATACAAAAAGAGCTTCCTGACTGTGGTATTACAATCATGTATGTTCCTTACCTGCAGGTGCCATTGCAGTTTATGACCCTGTTTTTTGCACTGTAAAATATCTATGCTGGGAGACAGGCATTGTAAGGACAACCATTGCTATGGTTACAGTGAAGACAGATTTGGTACTATTATTTTCATACACAGGAAATACTCCATCCCCAGGCAGCATTTGTATTATTATACATGTGAAAGAAAAATCTTTATGAGTATTGTATGTCTTATAATGATGAGACGTTTTTATATTCCACAATATTGGCAAAATATATTCATCAGAAATTAAAGGCAGTTGTTTAGGGCAATGACTGCCATCTGGCTTATTAAACCATTGAATGATAGCACTTTAATTCATAAATGCATGACTTTCACCTAAACTAGTCTAGTCTAACAGTGAATATGCTTGATATATTTGCTCTATCAGTGAAGAGGGAGGCTTATAACATTTAAAAAGACTGATTCTACTGCATGTAATGCTAGCTCTGGTAATCGTTTTTCTGAACAGCTATCTAAAATTCAGTGCTCTTAGGAAGTTTATTCTTGGACCCAGATAGAAAACAAGCAGTGAATACCACCCTTTGAAAATGTGTATTCTGGATGGTACTGCCTGAGGGACAATAGAAATATTTTGTGCAACAGACCTTACACAGTAGGTTCTTGATTTGTTTTTTTGGGAATGACGCAACTGGATACGAATGTTTGAGGAAACAATTAGGCAAAAAAAGTTTAGTAAAATCAATATTGGCACTATGAACAGTGCCTTGAGCAATGTCATACAAAGATGACAAACTCCACTGAATAGTACAGCTGCACTCACACAGTAACAGATGTTGCTTATTGGCTCTAAGAATGAAGCTCTGTTATTATCTCACTTAAAAGGGTTGTGTGTGGATATATATATTTTAAAAAAAATTAGCTATGTTTTGCTAGGACTTTTCAACTTCTTTGTAAACCTGCAATTTTTGACAGGGTTACATAAAATTTTTGGTTTCTTCACCATGGAAGTACAATATATAATTTTGTAGGGACATTTACAGTTTCTCACTTTTTTGTCTAATTTTGCTTTTCCGTTTAGTGACACAGATATCCTGTTGTTTGGGTTGAAAAATGATATAACATATCCTCCTTACTTTGTTACTAATGGCTTAACAAAATTTACAGTAGGATATTCAGTCAATTCAAATTCCTAGCACTGCAGAGGACATATACTGCCCACAAGCCCATTTCTTCTGTAGTCTTAATTCCAGGCATCCTTAAAGCACTCCAGAAGCTGTTAGATCATTTAGGGAAAACCAGGACATTTAAAACAAAGTATTAAAATACTCTAGGTGTAAAAATAAATATGTACTTAATACACCAGAACAAAGAAAAAAAAGAATTTTTCTTTCTCTTTTTCACAGTACAGTCAAGTATATTGGAAGTCATATTAAGATAAGGTACAGTTAGTGCTGAGTTGATTTTATTCCACTTTACTAAGCAAATGTGGCAGCAATGTAATTTTTAACGTCTGGGTATTACACAGCAGATTATTTTGGTGCATAGTGCCTGCGAAGTTCATTATCTGTTCAATAAGACTAAGTATAAGCCTTGGTCTTTTCACATATACTTTGAGGCAATTTGGGGTAGTTTTTAAAGCTCTAAGGTAGTATTTTTATTTAGAGACATAAGAGCGAATAGTAACATATACATCTAAGAAATGACAGATCATTCATTACCACTTACTGGCAAATAATAGCTATTAAACCCGTAACAAATACAGTACAAATTTTCTCTTAAAAACAACACAGTTCTCAATTTCATTTAACAGAATGTTGGCAGGGCTTGAAAGAGCTGGTCTGATAGTTTCCCTTGTTCTTTAAAGGGTGGTACAGCAAACCCAAGAGCAGTCTTGCGTTGTTTTTCCCCCAGATCAAGGGCAGTTAAATTGCTCTGGCTGTGTTTTTTGATCCTTCCACAAAAGTATAATAAAATCAAACAAACGCGGGTTTGCCTGTGACAGACTTTAATATGCATATTTTAAGTACAGAGTGAGCAGCAGGCTTATGTGTGTTTCAGCTTACAATTAGTAAGTATTAAGTTGTCATATTTGATCTTCAATGATGGCCTCCACTTTTCTTTGGAGGAAACAGTGTATATTCAATGCCAAGAGCTATGACAAAAGCTGCAAATCCCCACTTGAGTCCTCTAGTAAAGACTTCTGTTATGGTGACAGGTTTTGCATAGCCACCCATAAATCTCCAGGCTTCATTACTAGAAGAAAAATGAAACCAAAATTAAAACCAAGATCAGTGGAGCCACTATGATAAACATGAGCAGGAATATCTCTGTTTGTAAAGAATGCTTGCTGAAGGTATTTCAATTAGAGATACTTTGAACCTCTATAGAATGTTCTGTCATTTAAGTACCAGGAGTTACCACAAGTCAAGTTCACTATATTAACTCTTAAATCTTTACAGGTATAATTTGAGATACAAGTAACTCCAGGAAACATCATAGTTACAGGAAAAGAACCACCTCCCCAAATTTTTGTAACTGTTGTCATCTGGTTTGACTGTGAAAAAAAATCAGAACCCACTAGCCCTTGCATGGAATGGACTAACTACAAAGGCTCCTCATCGTGCTAGACAGTATCTAGCATAGTTAAATCTTACAAGGAAAGTTTTTCCAGACATAAAAAACTCATCCTAGTGTGGAGGCACTTTCTGTTTTACATATTAGGTTCAGATGATTAAAAAAAAAAAAAAAAGACTGAAGAGATTGTATTTAGCTTTAGCTACGGAATATTTACAAACTTCACACTGTTTTGCCTTACTGTTGTCAACATACATTCTTAGTGAAACCTTAGTCACTAGCTGACTACCAACATTTATGTGTAGTAGGACCACTGTTACCTGTAGAGATAGATGGGTGCAGTTTATCTCTTCTAAGGACTCAGAAGTCCTTAAGAAAAGGAAAAAGAACCGAGCACTAAAATCAGAACTGTCCTTCCAGGAGAAGATAAAGAGTTTTAAAACAAGGGGGTCAGGTATCTATGTTCACAGATAATTCCCTTGTGCAGATGGATTTTGTGACTCCAGATGAAAACATTTGGGCATGGAAGTGTATTGTCTAGATGCCAGTATAGGGTCTAATTGATACAGGCTTAAAGTTTCCAAATATGACATCTTTCACAAAGCTTATTCTGTATTGAATATGTACATTAATGTGCATTTGCCATAAAGGTGGAAAGCCACAGAAATAGAGGCAAGATAAATGTGATACTGTCCTGGAAAATTCATTAAGGACTGATATTTCAAAAGATTTGTGTCATCATTAAAAGTGTGTTTTACTTTATGTTCACAGCTTTAAACTATTTCAAAGGAAGGAAAAATGTTCTGTCAATCCCAAACGCCTCCAGAGGTTGTAGCATGAAACAACTTTTTAACAGATTACCTATTTGCTCTTCCATTTTTCTTGTAGTGATTTGAAGTAAAGCCTTTTCTATGAAGGCTCCTGGAATAGTTTGCTCATGCAACTTTTCCCTTACAGAAGAAACAGACGACACAGCACAAGACATTTAGCATTTTTATTCCCCAAGATGAAAAGGTGGTTGAGCAAAGTATTGCGTAATTCACTAGGTGGGAGAAATACATTAAGCCCTGTTTTAACAGCTTCCTAAATGATCCGGAATTGCTCTATCTAAAAGGGAGGAGATACTCACTGTAGAGTGGGACAACTTAAGAGGAAAAAGCTGATCCTCTATTATGTCATTCACTTTTAGCCAAATGAAGTGCACAGTTGAATGCAATTCCACCCTGTATACAAGTACACTTCTTTTCAAATAAAGGCCTCCTGTTGTGTATGAGGAATGCTGCTCCTACTCAGAATGTCAATTCCATTGCCTTCTCATCAGGATTTGAGCACAGAGTCTCTTTGCAGAGAAGGACAGGCTTACTTACATGTGCAGACCCAGTATTACTGAGGGGGGTGAGGTATTGGTCACTGTGCCTGAGCTGTATCATCACAGAACATCACCAAAAGGCAAGGCTGCCTTGCAGTGTGTGCAGACTGGTCAAGGGGATGGAAGGTGTGACCTCTACACAAAAAGTACACAAAGACTTAACTGAAATTCTAACCATCTTTCACTGTTTTTACCAAAGGAAGAATGATCTTCAATGACAAGGTCCAGTTGATGCTACAAGACAACACATCAAGGTTATTTTTGAGGCTGCTGCACTTACCGAGCCCACGGATCCCTGAGACCCCGCTTAGCCAGCCTTCTCTGGACCTCCTCCAGTGGGGTGCCCTCTATCTTCCACTGCCTGTAGTCAGGGAGTTCCATTTTGCTGTGGCCATGGCCATGGCCGTGTTCGTTTCCGTGTCCCATACCTACAGCAAAAGGAAAGTCTGTTACTTCACAGAGAGCGTCGTCTTGTTTTCACACACTTGCAAAGAACAATCCCCTGTAAAGGTAAAATGGGGAGGTAACACAAAGGAACAGAGAACAAAGAGCTTTGTTCTGTAAAACAAAGAGCTGAGAGACTTTACGCTGCATTTCAGAAGTGGGTGATTACACCCAGTAAAGCAAACCATGCAGAGTTCAGTGTTGCTGTGTTGTAAGTCACCACCACCACAACACCCCTGGAGCAGCTGTGTCAATCTCCTGTGCCAGAGAAGAGTGTAAGCAAACCAATGGCTTCCAATGTCTGTAAATGCCCTTTCAGCATCACCAGGGCCCATTATCTTACAGGCTTTCCACAATATGTCAAAAAGACTTAAGAACGAAAGCTTCTACTCTAGGTATGGCAGAGCTGTGAGCGCCAAGCTCTGAAGAAAAACCTGAGAGGAACAAAGGCTCGGCTGCTCAGCTCCTTTTCACCTGCCTCTAGTTCAGTGAAATGTAACTTTGGTGATCCACAGGTCCAGGAGAGATGAGAGGGCAAGGAGATGCACCTTACCAGTCATTTGATGAGGCTGAAAAACACACACTCTATTTACATACACCTTAGAAAACTATGAAAATATGAAGTTTCTGTAAAAACAGCGATCAAGGCCAATGGGAAGGTGGACATTTTCAGGGAGATCCTGAAAGACTGGAAGAAAATAACGACAGCTTTGAAGTCTCCATTTTCACAAAGCACTTGAGACTTCTTCAAGCCAAGATTTCCCATTTTAACACATATCAGGTAGCAAAGAACATATTTAACGTCCTGAACTTTTAGGAACACTGACTGGAATACAGAGGTGCCTGTAACTCTTGAAGAAGACTCCAAGCCCTGTAGGCAAGCGAAAAGGGTCTTCTTGCAGAGGGAAACTCGGAGAGCAGCATTAATGCTGTCACTACTCGAAAATCCCCCCCCCCGAATTAAACCCCAGCCTACAACCTTGCCAGAAAAAAACAAGACCTCTCTGCTATCAATGTCCACCACTCTACAAGGAGGTCATGCCCTGGCACGGCCAGGGGGCT